TGAGTTCGTAAGAAGTAATAATGGTCTCTAAGCGAGTCACTTTACAGAAAACGATTAGAAAGATGTTAAACCGTTTACTTTGGGGTTTTTCTGGGCTAAATCTCTTTTAAAACCTTGAAATACTAGTCGGTTGTTGGAAAAAGTCATTTTGAGAAGTTTAGTGTGATCTATTACATTTTTTTGGACTTTCAGTTTACTTGGCAACCGATGAACCTCATTTTCTTTGAAAAAACCTTTTCCAGCCATATTCGATCTACATCATACTATCGTCTTCTCAAAGCAGACGGCACCAGCTGATGGGATACGAGCGATTCGAAAGGAGGGCAAAGATGCTATAGGGTAAGTGGTGGTGGCTGTTCCTCCTTGTTTCATTATGCGGTCATACATCCCCCGTAAATCAAACCGGTCATCGTTTTTTTCCTCCACCTCTTTTTTTTTCTTCCCACGTGCACCCGCTGTTGACGATGACATCAACGAGGGTGAACGGGGTTCGTGAGGGAAGAATCTGTCCATAGAACCCACAATGCATCACCACACGTTAATGACATGAACAGCTGTCCTCCACAGATGAATATCCCTGTTGATAAAGCAACATATCGAAGCCCGTGTGCAGTGCACGGGCAGTGTTTTGCGCTCGCAACAAAGCCTGATTCCACTGTTTTGGATCGATGCCAACTTTGTAACTGTTGAACTGTAGCACATGTTGAAATCAACTGGTATTCTGAACTGGTACACAATTTTGACGTCATTCCGCCGCATTTGAATATCGTATTCATTTCAGTTCATGTCGCTCACTATTCAGCGGAGAACTCTCTGTCTACTGTACTGAGTACTGGTTAACTTACTGTGATAACGTTCTCCTCACCTTGCCAGAATGTTAAATCAAAACAACACCACTACCTCTTATGTTTACTTTGAGCATCGTCTCGGGCTGTTATTGAGAGGTGGATAGTGGAATTCCTGATTTTCACGTGTTTTTTCTAATTTTAAATGACTGGGGACTTGGAATCGCTTCGAATTTTGAAGAGGGAAATCTTCTTGGGGCAGATTTTTCGAGAATAGTCACAACTGTACATAAAAAGCCGCATGTGGAAAAATTTTTGCTCTTCCTTGGCGGAGTTTTTCATTTTTTCCTATAGTAACCATGTCTGTTCGTAGGAGACCTCTCTGGAAAGAATTTCCTCTTTCTTGACGAACTTTTCAGCTTTTTTGCCCCCTTTCCTTTTTTCTTCATTTTTTCTTTCCATTCCTCTCTTCTCACTCCTTTCGTCTCCTCTAGTTTTTTAATAATTTTACAAAAAGTAATATGACTTAGTTCGTACTCTAACAGTAATGTTATAATTCATTAGAATCTCATTCGAATGACTTTGCTCGTTGAACCGGTGGTGATTGCCCTTGCTGTTGTTTGCGGTCACCTTTTTTTGGCGACCCCTCTTGGGTGCTTCTTTAATCAGTCGTCGTTCCTGTGTAATATAACAAACGTGTTATATAGATCTTAACTACCCGACAACACTCTATTACCTTCAATTCGTCACATTCTACTGCATAGGCTATGCCTAAGAATCATTATAGCGTGTAAGTACTTTAAAACCAGTTATGAAAGTTGCGTTTGAAAGTTTGCTTCCGCTCAAAATTCTTTGACAGTTAAGTCGGTACAGACGAATAGCCCTTTTCAGGTGTACACTTTGGGTTAGATGAAGGGCCAAAGCCGACTTTTTTTTAGGTCATTAGAGCTTTTTTCATTTAGTTTCAAAAGTTTCATTTCATGAATTATCGCAAATATTACTGAAAAGGTCGAGGACTGATGGTGAGAAGTATTTCTATCTAGGAGGACTACAGCTGAAAAGTGGGCCCTAGCAGACCATTGACTAGGTCCGGAATCCGGATAAAGGAACCTTGTTAGGAAATCCTTAACGGAACTATATCTTTTTATAATATTTCGAGAGGAACCGTATCACTAATAAAGTCAAATTTGTAGTCAATTTTGTAAGTTATAACTAAGCCATATAAGTTTGTTTAAAGATAGTAGTGATTGAGTGGGTTCTGCGCCATAATGCTCGGAAAGGGAAGCTCGGGTCCAAATCCCGGTCCACAGCTACTTGTGGGAAGGGTGCTGTATAAGAGACGCAAAGATGGGAGATGGGGTTGGAGGTAAAGTTGATCGCTCGTCCTTACTCGTCGTGACCATGTTTCAACAGCGTAAAACTGGGTACACAGACTGGTTTGAACGTTGACTTTTGGTCATGTGATCACAAGTGGTACGCGTATTGATTGTTTGTCGACCGGTCTTTATAATCGATATTATCCTCCATCGTATGCCATCCATCCCTAAAAGTGCGTTGAGAATTTGGGAATCGGAATTAGTTTGGGAACCTGCTGCCTTTCGTACCACTATCTACTACAGGGTATTATTATCTTCAACCTGAATTTCTTGGTTGTTGCGGGTTGAACAGCCGACTCGGCAGAAGCTGACACTTGATAGCTTGTTGAATCAGTTAATGCCCTTCAGGTACATTACGCATAAGATTTACAATCATTTCTCGAAATATGAAACCAAAAGTGCGTCTTCTGATTTACGACCGTCGCGGTCTCCCTGTTTTTAACAAATTAACTACAATTTAACTACCTATCTTAAACTATAACCGCAGCTTGATGGTTCATGTTTATTTCAACGATCATATGAGAGGCGCCATGTGGTTAATCCCCGTCCGCTTTCATCTCTGAGTTTGCTCAACGTCAAAAGAACAATTTCTCAAAAGCTTGAATTCGTCACTATAAAAAGTGTCAAAATGTAGTTCTTTCCACACAGAGAAGTCTTTCAGAGGGTTTGGATTTTCATGGCTTAGACCCGGAATAAGGACTACGCATTGAAGGCAAACATTGCTAATAGAAGATTTTCCTGAAGGTTACTGCTACCGAACTTGTCTGGAATAAAGACAATAGCGATTTGAGTAACGAATGTCAGCGAAAATTCATGGTATGCGCTAAATATGAGTTCGCAATTCGATCACGAGATTGAATAGAAGGCAAATACACGGCGCATCCTGAAAAAAAGCCCCTCGTTCACTTTATATTTACTCTTAGAATCACTACAAACCTTGTTTATCTAGATTGCTTTCTGTGAACTGCTCAGAGCTTATTTTATGGTGAATGTGGGGGTTCTGGGCGTGAACAGATTCCGCGGCAGATGGCACCGGGAGGTGATGTAGGTGAAGACCTATTTTATCAAAGGATAGATAATCATATCACGTATTTGCTTGATGGATCAAAATGGAATCCTTTAGAGGACCTGTACCATCAGGTGTTTGAAGAATTTTCTGGAATTAATCCTTCATAACCTCTCCATCTTTTCCCGGCTTCATGCAGGGCCTGTATTGATGGTTTTTGAGGTCGATTTCTCAGTCCTTTCATTCGAGCACCACTTTAGATTCAGAAGATTAGCAACGAGAGATCGTGGGATCTTAAAGCCTGGATAATAAATTCAGAAAAGTGCTATTGATAGGCTATTTCATGGAACCTACGCAAGTACTTAATAGTACGTTCATGAATGGCTGCACTTTGCTTCCCTAATCTGATAATTGAACAAGGATTTGCCTCTATTCTTGCTTCCCGAATGCATCTCTATATCCTGCCAAAGGAAGGGTCGAGAAAGAAATAAGCAGAACTTACGGGTATGTTTTATCTCAAATAATACCCCGTAGCTTAATCGTAGCATACCATTTATATTATCGCCTGTCTCCGTCGTCCCAATGATCATCGATCTGCTCGAGCGGGCGCCCTAGCGTCTTATTCGTCCCTGTCACGTACCAGAGTGGTCCAGTGAAACGTCCTCGCTTCACGGACGCGAGACTCAGCATTCCTTCCCTTCCATTCAGACCTTTCGTGAAGAAGTCTGACCATCGCGTTGGCGAGCGTCCTGGTGTTCGTTTGACGTCCCGAGGGATCAAGTTAGTAACTGCCCTGGTGCAACGGTCATCACTATATCGCATAACGTGTCCGACCCACCTGATCTTCGATTTCTTGGCGTAATCAACGGCATCCCTGATTTTCGTTCGGTGACGGAGCTCGGAACTCCGGATTCCCTTCTGCACTTGCGTGTATAGAGCAATTCCGAGCATCGTCCTTTCCAAAGCGCGTTGAGTGATGCTGGCAGCTTGTTCGACCTGCTTTTGTAGAGTCCAAGTCTCTGAGGCGTTCGTCAAAGCAGGAAGTACAGCAGTGTATCATATTATAACATTTAAAATTCCCTTTGGGGCTCGATGTCAACTGGTTCACCTACTTTTTACGCTACTTTTGATATTCGAGCGTTTTAGCAGTCTCTGTTGTCCTTAGCTGGAACCTCGGCATAGTATGTTGAAATATGAGTTTGTTGTCAAACATGTTCCTTGAATGGCAAACATAGTTTTTACGAACTGTGAAGATCCCTTTTACGAGCTCATTAGAGGGACTTATAATCATTTTCATGGAATCAGGTTCATCAAACCTTACTAATGAGGTATTTGGTTCTCTGCCTAGAGATCTTTTCTTGGTATTTCTGTCGTGTTCTTATACCCAGCCGATAACTAGTTATGTCTATATTTTGTACATTTTTTAAAAAGTGTTAAGGCCGCTAGTCAGTCCGTAGGAGGGGAATCCAAGACGAGAAAAGTGTGTTGCAAAGACAGGGTTTTTTATGATCCGGTTTACTGTTGATTTATATCAGTTTAGCCCCGCCTTTTTACATTCAAACCAAGTGTCTCAAACCAAATGATTCTCGAGGAGGGAAGAAGTCTGTAAAGTTCAATGGGAAGTACTAAAAAGACGCTGATGAGAAGCATAAAATGTCAAGTTACCTTATGGTGGTTTTCTGAAAGTAATAGCTGTAAGTTAGTAGATTCCTTGGTAACCACTGATTGTTATCCGTTAAGTAGTAATGAACCCTTGAAGTAAAGTAGTCCATATTTGACTAGTTTATTTATTTTTTATTTATTAATTTCTTCACCAATGTGTTAAACCTATTGAGTGGAAGAGGATTAATTTTAACTGCAACCAATCAATACCTATGCGGCTCTATGGCCTTTCGATGGCTCTTTCGATGTGTACGACCGATCAATACAAGCTGGTCAATTTTTTCTTGATATAGGGCAAGGATTAATGTCAAGTTTGTAATGCAGTCAGCTGTTGTTGCTTTGCAACCTTTACTTGATTTTTACTGCTTTGAACTTTGGACTACTGGAAAAATTTGGCGCTTCAGTAGGAAATTCTTTAACAAACTATCAGTATCTTCAATTTAATGAATATTCCGTGAAGGCCCTCGAAATTCTCTTGACATGATTTATTTACTTCATATAACACCATTGCTCGTATCTATTCCTTGGACCTCTTCATAATCACTACTGATACAGAGTGATACAATGAATAACCATGCTTAAGAAACAGCCCGAGAATAAGGGATTTTCTTTGTGAACGAAATAGAGCTATGGATCATTTTAGGAAAGTTGTGAGTTGAGCTCACTCCCATCCTCATGATTATTAATCATTATACTCAATTGTTATCGTTTTCACAAAATACAATTATATTAAACTCACGCAGCCCTAGCCCTTTGTATGATGGTAACGCGCTATAATGCTACTTTGGTGCGCGGTGCGTGCTGCGTCGTGGCTCCGCAGAGGCGCCGTCAACATGTAATTGTGGATGCCGAGACTGTTGTTGACGAATGTTCTTGAGCATTTCAAATAAGTTTTGCAAACTGGATACCTTGATTTCTGGGGATTTAGTTTCAAGCACTAGGGAGAGCTGGGAGGGCTGTTTCAATATGTCCAGTCAGCTTTTGGATCCAGTAAACAACAAAGCAAGCTACGATGGTCCCGTTATTTGACGGGCTTAGTGGTTTGTGCAAGTCAAATACCTTCCGATGACCTTAATTCTTTGTAGGGATAGCTCACACTTCAGCGATACGGGCGACATGATGAAGTGAGAGGATTTGACTTTCGGTTAGATCTGACTACGTGAGGTGGGTCTCGGGTGCTAAGTGCCGCTCACAGGGTCCCTCAGATCGGATGGAGTGATAAAACCTAACGAGCAGCCCTTTTTACGTGGTCCATGAAGGGCTGGATACACCGTCTCTAGTTCCCGTTCTCCAAACCCGAAGAGGTCCACGTTTATCCCAACAGAGTAATCCGCGAAGAAATTACCTCCATTAAATCCCCCAATTTATCGCAAGAGAGCATAAAATATCTCATAAGAAACACCGATCATAGTCCCAAGAAGAAAAAAAAA